CATCTGTTGTTTTGGATTTTTAGTTTCGTTTTGCGGTTCGGGTTATATGAGCGAATTTCCATACTTAAGAAGGTCGTTTGGTGGTAGGACTTGACATAAAACTATATTTCATTTTAATTAATATTTGTTTATTGCAGTCGAAAACATCATCAATTAATCTACAGTTTGAACAAGCCATAAAGGAGTCGAACATTGCCCGAAACCTAAATATTTTTGGGTTGGTCGTGGGACTGGTCATTTATATTGTGATTATAGTGTATTACGCATAGATATCCAATAATAGACTAGATCGGTCCAACGCTATATTGATGACGTAAAACCAAATAATGATCGTTTTTATAATAGTCTTCTTTGTATGTGACATGTTATTCATTATAATATTTAATGTATAATAATTTTTAGCGTTGTTACAGGCCTATTAGGATTAAAGTGTTATTAGGCTAAACCTTATTTGTATGTGAAAAATACTAATTGCGTATACGATCTCCGGTACTGTGAAGCGGCGAAGCGGGTCATGTATATCTTGTCACATGATAAACCAGCGTTTATTTCCCCATAACGATAACAAGATCCACATTCATTCCTTATATTTACATTGGTTTATCTTTTGTGATAAAATACGCCAAAATGTTCTATTTTTTAATTGTAAAATTACCCGAAATCGTTGTTGCATAATTCACCGATATCTGTCAATAAAGTTCACCGCCCCGCCCCTAACAATATAGTTCTATAAATCAATAGTCTTATTTAGATGATAAAATTATCAAATATTTATTATTCCCTTAAAATATTAACGGATTTAAAATACTTGTTAGAAACCCTTTCAAAATCCCTTTCAAATCCTTTTTTTCGTTTTCGATGTATTCATATGCCTTATTGTCACGTGACAAACTACAGTTATTGGAAAATAAACGCCGGTTTGGCTAACTGGTTTATTGAAGGGAGTGATAGTAGAAATGTAAATATATATGTCATAATGAAAAGCGGTATCATTTCAAGGGAGGTAACTAATGAAAATAGTTTTATTAAATATCGACAGTTCTAGGGAATTAACTAATGAAAATAGCATTTTATAATGAAAAGTGGCACCAAGTGTCAATTATCAAAATCTATTGGTCTTAATTCATGCCTAGATTCGCAAGAAAATTCCTCAACCGATCATAAGAGATTTCTCCATCATCTGATGTTAAAAGTTGCAGGTTCACATTTTTAAAAACAAAATTTTGTATAAAATTTGATCATTTTGCCATAATGGTGTAAATTGGAGTACATTTTGAAAATTAAGACATGGCTGATTAAAAGATTGTTTACAACCATGAGACAGAAGAAAATTAAATCTATGTATAGTAGAGTAGATCGACCATAGCTGTCCGCATCAGCTCTATTTATTAATAGTGGTTCTAACAATTTTCTACCATTTTTCATACAAGCCAACATTAAAACTGTTTTCCCACCTTTATCTTGTATATTGACGTCTGCACCAAGATTGAGTAAAATATCAATAGATTCAAGATATATGGGACAGTATTCACGGGCACATAACTCTTTCACTACGGAATTGACTTTCATCATATTTAATTTTTCTTTTATCAAAGTAAACCCGATGACACTAAGGTGGAGTGCTGTATGGCCTTGATGGTTTTGTCTATTGACCTCACAGGGTAAATCAGCTAAAATTGAATAAAAGAGTCCACAATGAAAGGGTCATTCTGGTCGAAGTGATTCGACTGTTATCTTAACTATTTTAAAGGTTTACGTAAGATTACGTACACTTTTAAAGTTCGTTATGCTTTTCGGAAGCTGTTAGAAAACTACAGTACGGATTTAAGTAAAGTAAACTCCTGATTGTAGAGAAATATTTCTCCTACGTATTTTAAAGGTTTCAAATAATAATATAATAATACCGAGCCATTATAAAGCCAAACACCAAAACTATGTCAAACTGCTTAATTAACAATTAGTATTTCCGTTTTTAATTAACCTTTTTAACACAAATTCAGTTTGATCAAGAAGATACATAGATATAAAAAGTATACTTTCTGAAATATTTTCAGGTATACTTTACTATACTTACGTTTTTGATAATAAAAACTTTAAAAAAAGCGGAATGCCCCTTTAATGGCCATTATATTTTACAAGATTAAAATCTAGCCCATAATATTATAAAAAAAACAGTTTAATCTACATATGAAAAATCCATATAAAATTGAGCTAAAAGATGGACTTTATTTTCACCTAATGATGTTAAAGAATTGATATAGAGACCATTCTGAATAAAAAACCATAGAGATTGAAAATCATTTTTCCTCAGAATTAATTTAACTAATTGAAGGTGATTATCAAAACATCTATATCAAGTTTTGACGTTGTTCTATTTTATGAAGAAATTGTAATCCAGTCGTAGTGGAGAAAGGTGAATGCCCCTCATGATCTTTTACATTGACACCACATTTACCATCTTCAATTAATCACTTTACAATTCCTACATTAAATCCCGAACAGCTAAATCTAAAGGTGTAATACCGTCACTACCCTGTGCATAGACATCATATGTAGGATACTCTAGTAAACACTTTACAAGTTCTCAATTATTCCTCCATATAGCTCTATGTAAGGGTATACTCCGTTACTGTAGTCTTGTATGTTGACATCACAATCCGTATGGTCTTATAAACACTTTACTATTTCTATATTATTCCTCCATATAGCTCTATGTAAGGGTATATCACCGTTACTGCTGTCCTGTATGTTGACATCCCAATCCGTATGGTCGAATAAACACTTTACTATTTCTATATTATTCCTCCATATAGCTCTATGTAAGGGTATATCACCGTTACTGCTGTCCTCTATGTTGACATCCCAATCCGTATGGTCTAATAAACACTTTACTATTTCTATATTATTCCTCCATATAGCCCTATGCAAAGGTGTATCACCGTTACTGTAGTCTTGTATGTTGACATCACAATCTGTATGGTCTTATAAACACTTTACTATTTCTATATTATTCCTCCATATAGCTCTATGTAAGGGTATATCACCGTTACTGCCGATCTGTATGTTGACATCACAATCTGCATGGTCTAATAAACACTTTACTATTTCCAGACTACAATACCATACGTCTCTATGTAGGAGTATATTACCTATAGTATCCCGTATATTGACAGGAACGATGATTTTATAAACACCCTACAATGTCTATATTACTCTCTTTAAATACAGCTAAATGCTACCACCTCTGTAGCTCTGTAAATTGACATCACAGTCACGGTCTACAACCTTACAATTTCTATATACCCCTTGCGTACAGCTATATGTAAGGGTATTTGACCTCCGATGTCCTACTTGTTGATATCACAGGTACCACTCTGTATAAAACTATACAGTCACAAGGTCATTGTTGTTTAAACCTTTAAATAAGGATTTTCTGGTTGACATTTTTAAATTAGTTTTAAGCATTCGATCTTTTCTATAAACCAATTAATATATATTTGTTGTTAGCTGCACGGATACTCCTTTTGGACAGTTGACAGGCGTCTAGTTGTTATATTTGATACATATTTTCCTACACCTCATCACATGATTATTACCTCTTATTCTCATTTCTCAAACTTAATCCACAAGAGTATATATATTCGTCCGTGGTCTTAACTGATGTCATAACTATACAACGAATCTGACCCTACCCGTTCTCGGACGTGAAACAGGAGGTGGGAGGGGGGGGGGGGGGGCTATTTTAGGCACAAGCACATCGTTTCGACAATACTTCACTAATAGTTATCTTAGTCACAATTATATAACAAACACAACGTTTCAACAATACTTCACTAATAGTTATCTTACTCACAATTATATAACAAACGCAACGTTTCTACAATATTTCACTAATAGTTATCTTAGTCACAATTATATAACAAAAACCACGTTTCTACAATACTTCACTAATAGTTATCTTAGTCACAATTATATAACAAACACAACGTTTCTACAATACTTCACTAATAGTTATCTTAGTCACAATTATATAACAAACACAACGTTTCTACAATATTTCACTAATAGTTACCTTGGTCACAATTATATAACAAACACGACGTTTCAACAATACTTCACTGATAGTTATCTTAGTCACAATTATATAACAAACACAACGTTTCTACAATACTTCACTAATAGTTATCTTAGTCACAATTATATAACAAACACAACGTTTCTACAATACTTCACTAATAGTTATCTTAGTCACAATTATATAACAAACACAACGTTTCTACAATACTTCACTAATAGTTATCTTAGTCACAATTATATAACAAACACAACGTTTCTACAATACTTCACTAATAGTTATCTTAGTCACAATTATATAACAAACACAACGTTTCTACAATACTTCACTAATAGTTATCTTAGTCACAATTATATAACAAACACAACGTTTCTACAATACTTCACTAATAGTTATCTTAGTCACAATTATATAACAAACACAACGTTTCTACAATACTTCACTAATAGTTATCTTAGTCACAATTATATAACAAAGATAACGTGAAATGAAATGAAATAGAGTTCTGCCCCTTATTGTTCTGTTTTAGTTTAGGTATCACGTCCTTCCAACTCGTGATATTCGTATATTGGAGATATAAATTTATAATATATAAAATTAGACAATATTTGATAAGAAGGTGGATCAATACACCCTAAATTTTGCTTTATTGTGCCCTGTTTGTTACATTACACAATTTCTCATAGAAAATACTACAAAACGTAATACTTGACCCACAAGACTAAAAAAGGTACTAATATTACATCCGGGTACGGGAATGGGTAACAAAGAGGATCACAATTGAAGTTGGAGATTACAGAGACAACTTACAACATGGCGTCAGGTAAGAGTTTTATTTTTTAACCACTGTCCTTTCTGAATCGAATATAAAAAGGCATGTATATAAAATGCCAGAAATTGTCAGCCTTTAGGAATTGAAGGTTATAACATAAGGAACCAGTTATTATTTAACAGAAGGCACTGGCACAGGTTTAAAATTTCCATCGTTACTACTGACCAGACTCTGGCTAGAAAAAAGGGTTATGGTGATGGAAAGTAATAAGTAACTATTATTAAAAGGTAAAAGAACATTAGGATTTTTTGAAAATAAAATAATATATAGTAAAGTTAAATCAAATGATACCATTCGGTATTTTTTAAGTTGGGTAATTGACATTTAAATCTAAGCGAAGTTAATGGCACATCTGAAAAAGAATTA